TCTGATTATTTGTGTCTTGAGTGAGAACCACAGCCAATCACAGAACTGACAAGATACAGAAGTGGTGGATAGTTTCTGCCTTTTAGGATTAACCATCAACAGTAAAGGAATCAGAAATCAAGAAATACCTAGATTAGCACTTGGTAGAATAGCCATGAAGGCCTTGGAAAAGATATCCAGATGCTATGATGTCTCTATATCTTCCTACAAAGATCGGAATGTTGCAAGCAATTGGATTTCCTGTGACACTATGCAAAGGAAAGTGGGACTCTGAAGAAGCAGAATGGAAAGATATTGATCCTTTACTTCGTTGTTGAAGAAACCTCCTAAGAATATCATGGGCAACCAAGAAAACAAAGAAGTAAACCACTGAAGAAATCCACTTAGAGTCTTCATTCAAAGAACAATTTATCATATTTTGGAGATACAAAGACACAACTAATGCTGGGAAAGGTAGAAAGAAAGAGAAGAACAGGAAGACCGACAGCATGGTGGATAGACTCAAATTAGAGTGTGATAAGTGCACCATTAAAGGACCAGGTTAAAGAAAGATAATCAAGGGGAAAATTCAACACTGACTTGATCACACACAATCAATCAGTCATTTTAATGATAAATATTATTTATACAATATGCACGGTTTTCACAAAATACATCAATAGAAACAAAAGTAAATATTACTGCAGACACATATAAACTGGCTGAAGAATGAGCTACGTTCTTAGTTTTAACTTTGATTCTTTTTCAGCCTGTGTAAAAACCAAGCTGTGTAAAAACCTTTCCTGATTAGTAAAACAGGCAAAGCATTCAGAGTGGCAGTAGCATGAAAACAGAAAAAATATCTTCATCCATTGCCATATTTTCAGTCAATCTATAGTGTCCCCTTTATTTTAAATCTAAATTATTTGAGGGAAGAAACTTTTTTTTCAGGTTAATTCATAATCATAATTACAGTTCTCCAGTTTGGATACTCTGAGCTTAATTTTCAGAGGGAAAAAGCATTGTTCCTCAACTGTGCAAAGTGAGATCTCTGAAGCCATGCACAATAATGGTTTCAGTGTGCCTTTGCGTAACTGGGAAGATCCTGACATTACTAAAAAGCATTAGAAAATGGGTGGAGGGGATTGCCCATAAATAAAAAATTAAGTAAAATAGATATCTATTAATTCTAAGATAAACATTATTTGTTGGAAGAAAAAATGTGAAGTTTTTTATCCCATTACATAGTCCATACTTTTTACATAATTTTTATTATTACAATTCCATGAATACACCTGTACTATTAGGATTGTTATTGCCTCTATCCCTTTTTTTGTCACTTTGATCAGCCTTCAGTGGTGAATATGAACTTCTATTTTGTACAGCCAGTGACATACAGTTTTGCTTACTATGTTTCATGAAAGAGTTTTCTATGGCTGTTTGGAATATATTAACCTCTTCAAAGACTTTAATACAAGTATCTACAATTTTAGAGATATAGTATTAATTGGACTCACTTGTGATTGATATTATTGCTCAAATGTTATTGGTCTGAAAAAGTATAATAAAATAGTTGTTCATCACCATCACTCAGTATTATCTGACAATTGTACAATCTAAGCACTTATGGAACTACACTTACCTGTTAGACCTCACAATTTACATGGGAAGATTCCTTTTGCAAGATTAGAATCCTCCAAAACTATAGTGAGATGAAAAGATGTAAACAGGGAAACATTGGGCTAAATAGATGTTAACATTTAATGAACTTCACACTGTATTTCTTTAAATTAAACATTTTTGCCTAGGCTAAAAGCCAAGTTTTACCTCTAACATAATACAACATAGATAATTTGAGACCATAGACAATATGTTTGGGGAATGTTTAGTATCTGATGCA